CCTCAAGGCAGATCATCCAGCGTCCTGCAGTCACATGCTCTGTTCCACCTGAAACATGAAATAGTAATTTCAGAGAGCATCTTAACTTGTATATTTTTACATGGAAGAATGTGCATGCTTTGCTGGAATATAGATAAATGTGAAAGCTCATCTGATATAACATAAACAATGCCATTTCAATGAATACATACTGAGCAGTATTAGACGAGGAGTTGGTGGTAGCGTGAGGGTCCTCTCAACATCAGCCACTGTGGCAGACAACTATAGGGAAAAGACAGTAGAATTGTAGTGATAATGTTCATGATCTGAATTTAAGATGGCAACAATACAAGGCAATAAAAATTACGAAAGAAAGAGAAACAAACTTACATCTGCAAGAAGGATGAGCCCATCTGTGGTCTCTGTGAAGTGGGCCATCAGCAACTGGACCACATGAAGTGCCACCTCAGTGTCCTCCCCCTGGGAGAGGACAGTCTGGACATCTTTGTTGGTAGGTTTGTTGCGGAAATATTTTGTGATCACTTTCCCAGATTACTTCCATGGCAAGCTCCAGGAGACGAAGCACATTAAGATCTGTGAGAAGCTCAAAATGAGCATACATGCATCTCTGATTGAAGAGACAAGGCCATTTGCTTCTTATGCCTCCAATGGAAGGAGTCGGAATCGCATTTATATGGTGACGCAGTAGACAGAATGTGGTCTCCATGAGATGATGGACCTCTGCTCTTTCAACCCCGTCTGCACCTTCCTGTCTATAGATCTCCTCCAATCTTTGGCGCTTTTGTTCCATAGTATTATCAGTCTCTCTGGTGGAAGTTCTGGTTGAAATCTGGTACATCCATATGACTCTGTGTGCCTAACATATGCCCATACATTGGTACATTCACTAGCACAGAACTGGGAACATTTTGATGGCAAATCCACCACTAACAAAAAAACTGCTAACTCAAAAACACTGACGTGTGTCTTATCACAACTCATTAGCAATGCTGACAAAAAAGGCTTTGACAGAAGAGCACTGTAACTATTATTTTCTAGGCTGCGCGCATACACACATACACACACTTGCAAGGAAATTATAACTTTTTTCTTTTCTATGAGCTATTAGCTAACGTTACCGACCAGTTGCAGTTTATGTGGTAGCTAGCTAATAGGATGTCATGGCAAACATCAGCAGACAGATGAAATGTAATTCAGCTTACCCTGTGATTTGCTTCAAAATTGTAAGATTCAGATGGACAGTCCTCAAAGAAAATTGGCTCCAAGTCTGCTTTGCATGCGTCCTTGAGAAATACAGTAACGTTCTGTATTTGCGCTGCCTCTCTGCCGTTGATTCTAACATCACTCCCAGAATGCAACGCTATTTACAGTATATTGCGGTATTTTATGGGAAAGGGTGGGCTGCCCATAAATATTTCCCAGAAGTCATTGTTTTCTACAGTATAGTACCGTTTTAATGGAAAACAGTATGTTACTGTTGGAATTTGGCCGTTTTTTAATAGCAATTTGTTACAGTGCAGAGCAGGCCAGTAATTCTGTTACAGCTGAACTCTGTTCCAGTGTATTTGGGCATGATGCCACAGCAGTTCATTAAATAATGAATTTTATGTTAAGTATGCCACAAATTTTGTGGGGCCTTCCGGGCTGCTGCGTCCTCCACCAACTTAAAGAATCCTTCATTTGTTAGCAGAGACCCACCTGTAGTTCAGGCAGATATTTTATTGTAGTTGCAATCCAGAGTGGTGCTTTACATTATCTTTTCATCTGATCTTTATCAAAGATATTTTTGACAATGAACCCAGCAAATGTTTGGCATTTTGCTAAATATAATCAGTTGTTAAAATTGTTGTCCATCAATTTTCCGTCCATCGGCCAGTCAGTTTTTTGACTGATTGTTTTCAGCAATGTATCTGTGCTATGACTAGAAAATCACTGCACACTAGTTTCTTTAAATTGGTCACTTAGGGTATTTTTATGTTCCATGAAGGCTGAAATGACAGTTCTAATTTTATTGGGTTTCAGTTTACATCATTTAGCAAAAGATTCAACTGAAGAGTAAATGTTTGCTCTGCATTCTTATTTACAGTACATGCAATTCAATGCTGCACTGTTGAGTTTCACAACTGCAGGAACATGCAGAGTTGTGCTGCAGAGAGCATGTAGATGCCACGAAGACACACACACACTTTAACGCAAACAACACAGGCAGACGCTATGACTTGGCACCACTGAGCAAACACTCAACAAGGGGCACACAGTTATGAGCCATAAGAAACACACTGGGCCCTATACAGGCATATACTGAATGCTTATTACACACACACACACACACACACACACTTTGAGTGTGAGGACATGCTTGGCATGTGTTTCTCTTAAACACTAAATCAGTGGTTCTTTCTTCTTATGCGTTTGTGTCATGTCGATATCTTGTTATGTCTCCCTCTCTCACTGAGACCATATTCACCTTTTGTTGGGTGTGCTGTAATTATATATTTGGCTGAAATTTAGCAGACTCCAGCAAAACTCAATCGATCAGTTTTTGTGCTGATTCTGACTTTTGACATTTATTGATTTTCATTCATTCATTTGGGAGTTTAAGAAAAGACCATCCCACCAAAAATGTATTATTACATGAGGCATTACCTACACTCTGGCCACAGTTCTGCAGTTGTGCGATTTACTGAGTGTTGTTGGGTATTTGCACTCTGAAGCCACAGCCCACCTCTTTCTCTTCGTTCTCCCCACAGTGCCTGGACAGCAGAAGTCTTTTAAGAGGAAGAGGTCTCTGATCAACTGGCCTTTCTGGAGAGGTTCCAACACACAGTTGGACAGCCTGCCCCTGTCCCCGACCTCACTTTCACCCACTCAGGGCCGACTTTTTGGGCGACCCCTGAGATCCATTTGCTCTTCAGACCACGGCCTGCCCAAGCCTGTCATGGTGAGCCAAGTGAGCTCATGTAGTCTGGAGGGGTTCACAGAGGACTGACAGTGTGTTTGTAGAAAAGGAAATGTAGTGATATGGGGAAGAAGATTCATTTTTAGATAAGTTACTGTTACTGTTACTGTTAGATTATTATTATTAAGAAAGAAATAACGGGCATTCTGGTATAGAAAAGAAAAGCCAAACACAAAGTTTATTTATAAGAGGGTGATTAATGAAGATGCTATAAGGAAGTTAAAAGAGGACAAGGCATATGAGCAATTTTTATATATATTTAAGTCACTATATGATAAGAACTGTCCTAGAAAGCGTTATAAGACCAATAGGAATTACAGCTGAGAAACCGTGGATGAGTAAGGGACTACAGAATGCATGTAAAAAGAAGAATGCGTTATATAGAGAATTTATAAAAAATAAATCAAATATGGTGGAAGAAAAATATAAGACATACAGTATAAGAATAGATTAACTGAGATAATGAGGAGATGTAAAAAACAATATTATACTAAATTTACAGGATAATAAAAATAATATGAGAGGTATTTGGAAAATATTTAACAGTTTGATTAGAAACAGTCACAGTAAGGACAGTTACCCTCATTATTTTGTGGATAATGAGATACATGTTAATAGAATGGAGGATGTAGTAAATAAGTTTAATAGATTTTTTATTAATGTTGGACCTGATTTAGCAAGAAATATTTGTATGGATGACTCATCCGAAAGCATAAATAATAATACAATCGTAAGGAACATGAGTCCCATGTTTCTTAAGCCAATAGTTGAAAAGGAGATTATAGATATAGTTAATAAATGTGCAAACAAGATATCTACTGATAGTGATGGAATTAATATGATAACTGTAAAGTGGGTAATTGAGGGGATATCCAAACCATTAACTCATATTTTTAATTTGTCATTTCAAACCGGGCAGTTCCCCTGTAGTATGAAAATAGCAAAAGTTATTCCATTGT